CATCTGGCCACATTCCAACCCATTCTCCGGGAACCCTTCTCGTTTCAGCTTCACCATGAGCAGAAACCCCCTCCTCAGTTAGCCATAAACTCACCTCCTGCTTTAAAGCACTTCATTCAGCCACGAGTCCAGTTTGGAGGATTTCGTCCCTGAACTAACTTTTCCTCGACTTGTAACCTCCCTTTAGCTCTCTGTCGCTCTCTCCTGCACACACTGTCTATCTTTCTTTCACAGCCCGGCACTCGCACAAACAGATCGGCTTTCTCCCGCCTACCCACCCCACTCCGGGATTATCCAGTGTGTGTGTGTGTGTGTGAGTGTGTGAGTTTCCGAACAGACACCTAGAGCTCACTGCAGGACAGAAATAGTAAGTGGGTGTGTGACTTAGACTTAGCCGTCTAACACTGAAACTGGATGTACACATAGAGTGGAATGTACAAACTCTGTTTTCCTTAACTTCCAGTTCTCGGTCTTGTGATTTCTATTCGTGCACTGGTTTGTTTACATATCATATTGTATGTCTCTTTAATTTCCAAAGCACTGCTGACTCTGTCTGCCCCCCCTTTTTTATCTCTCCATGTAAATTCTGTGGTGTCAGTCACAAATGACCTCACTCATTCAGCTGCTTTGCACGTCAGAAAGTTGTAACTTTGCCACGTCTTTCCTGAATCAGATATTATGCAAATATCTTATAAAGAACTGAACCTTGCAGCTGGGTAGAAAATTGAAAAGCCATTCCAAGTCCAGCAAAATGTGCTGATAATAATGCAGAGGTTCTAGACTGCAGTATGGGCAGAGTGAGCTTTGGTGACTAAAAGCAACCTGTGCCAAATTTAGCTTAAGATTCTAACAATGTGACTTCTGCCATAACCCACATCAAAACAAAGGATGAAGCAATGCAGATTATACCGGTTGTCACTGACACCGAAGCATCTATAGAGAGACACGAGGGAAATACAGGCATGTATTTATCTGTGCAACAAACCGATGTTGTACATTGTCATGGATAATGCAAATTCTTCACTTGTATACACACTTTTTTAGATTCTAGTCAACAAAACCAATACTCAGTGTATCTGCAGTAGTTGCAATTCAACATGTTATTTTCATGAACATGTTTTCTTTCTACATTATCCCATTATTTTTCAAAGTATTCTGCTGATATGCCTGTTTGCACATAGAACATGTGAAACGGAAATTATCCAAGTCTATTTCTATTCTTTATAAAACAAGAGATTTTTTGAATAAAAACTGCCTTTATTTATTGTATACTTCCCTTTGTTTGCCTTATATGACCTACTGTGCAGAAATTTGGGGGAACACATACAAAACATATTTGAATTCAATATTTAAATTGCAAAAAAGAGCTATTAGAATAATAAATAAAGTTGGATATAGGGAGTCCACCAACCAGTTTTTTGTAGGATCATCTATGTTAAAATTCATGGACATTATATATTCTAAAACTTATATATAAAAATTATATATCGTGTGGTTAAAAAGAATGTTCCAATTTGTATTTTAAGTATGTTTCAACTAAGAGATGGAAAATATGATTTGAGGGGGTCTTATAAGTTTGAAATGCCTAAAGTGAGAACCAATGTTAAGTATAGATGTGTGTCAGTTTTGGGAGTGAAATTATGGAATGGACTTAATGATGAACTGAAGATGTGTTTTTCTTTGTCATTCTTCAGGAAGATTTTAAAAAATAGTATTATACAAGGTTATAGAAATTTGGTTTGTTAAAAATGGTTTGTGTTGATTTAATTTCTTGATTTATCATTGATTTCTTTTCAAACTGTTATACAACTTATTTATCAATGCTATTTATTTTCTTGGTTAAGGATTTGATTATTTCTATGGGGGTAAGGGATAGGATAAGTATAAGCCATAAGGCTTCAGCCTATTCCTTTTTCGGTTACTGTTTGAGTACTTTTATGTAAAATTATAATCTGTTGTTGTTGTTGTTGTTGACTGAAATAAACATTTCAATTCAAAAATTCAATTCATTCAATTCTATGGACTGCACTGTTAATTTTCAAAAGGACAGTCTACTGTTTTAAAAACATTATCTTTTTTTATTTTACCTCCAACCTTCCTGTCTTTTTTTGTAAGTGTTATATTATCCACAAGGCTGACAGTCAGTGTTCTGGCTCGAGCCTGATGGATTTTTAAGATCAATACTGACACAGATTTTATCCTATCATTTTGTAAAAGCCAGTATTCTGATATATCAGCCCTTTTTTTATTCAGCTACAAAACATAAACAGATATTGCTCTGTAATATGTAAATTAATTGAAGGGTGTTTCTCCAGTCTTTACTTTTTAAATGTTCATTTATCAGCCAGTTTAAATGTTGGTACAGAAAGACCAGAAAAGAGATAATGCTGGCCAATAATACCGGCCCACTGATACGCCAACGCCTGATTCTTGAACCTCCAAATTAATTCAATTTCAAATTTGCATTTTCTGCCCGTAATAGATGTGGAAGGGTTTATTTGAGGTAACATTTAGGCAGTAAACAGAATCTGACTTTGGAAAAATCACTGGAGAATGTTTTCAAACTTTAGGGCCCTTGGGTATTAAGAAAAGCATCAAGTTTTTGTAATGCATTTTAAAGCCAAGAAGCAAATCTGTTCATGCTGACCATTTATGTGCCACATGTCCAAACACTTTCTATCTAAGGCTGTATTAAAAACTTGAAGCCCCCAGATAATTAAATATTGAGGGTTAGTGAACGTGCCGGAGGCGCACACAAAACTTTCCAAAACCACAAAACACCTTTCACATAGTGGCTTTCACCCATATTGAAAAGTTGACTCCCCATTTAAAAAGCTGAAAAGCTACTTCTTGTTTGTTGATTCCAGCTGTTTATGTAAGTTTTCTTTTGAGTTTATTACATACTTACTAGAAAGCCACAATCTGTTTGCAAGCTTCTCCAAAGCATGAGCGCTGCACACACACTTGTAGCTCACTTCAGGGGCGATTTATAACCTACAGTTTGGTAAAAGTTTGAGTCTTTTTTTTCTAAAGTTTACCAAAGACTGCTTGGATGGCTTCCCATAATTACTTGTCGTAGCCTTCTCAAATTTTCAAAGGTACTTTAAAGAAAACAGCTGTAAAGGAAACTCTGATCTCATGAGTTTTAGTACCTAAAAACTCGGAAACACTGACTCTTTCTGTTACTGTTCTGGGAACATTTGAGTGAAACTGGGAGGAGATCAATAATGCAAGTGACTCATCACAATGACAGAATGCCATCCCCTGAATACAGTGATAACACCAGCATTGTTGGGCAGCTCATGTCTGAAAGAAGGTTCTTATTTGCAGCCTATTAATCAGTTCTATTACATAAATGAACAGGTTGTCCTCCTTAAATGACAGGTTGCTATATTTAGCTATATTTACAATGTGAATTGGCAAAACTTCAGACAGGAATAAAGGGCCAAAGATGGAAAAAAGACATTAAAATCAGTCACTACATTGGTTATTGGTCATAAACTGAATACCGACATGCTGTGTGTATGTTTTACCCTTTAAATCCTTTAACCAACTTTAACTGACTTTACTGGTCTGGAAAATCTCTCATGAAGGCAAAGTTTACAAATTGCACAGGGGTGTCCTGATTTAGATCATGTGTGTTACTGGAGATGTTAAACACCATTCCTCCACTGGTATGCGAGCTTGAGAGTGTGTATTTGTGCGCGTTGAGTTGCCCTCGTTATATTTTTAGATCAAAAATTAAACACGGACACACTGCTGAAGCTCTACAACCAAAACAAGCGCTGCACAAAGTCAGCGTGAAGGCAAGTCATGCACATATGTATGAAATCTTTTTTTTTTTTAATACCAACAAAATCACACACAGTGTTTAGTTGCATCAGTTCAGCTGTGCCAGTTCACGCTGGGTGTTAGAGTTAGTTACAACAAGATCACTCTCGTTTGACTTACAGGAATAGCTGATGCAGATATTTCCAACATCCATTTCTGTTTAAACACAAGCAGAATCACGTTTGACCATTTCTGTCTACATTTGGAAACACACCGTATAAAAGATGGACCTAGCTTCCAGCTCTCAATAGAGGAAACTATTTTATGACCAGTAGGGGGATGAATCTTTTCCTTGAAAAAAACACTTTTGGTTATACAAGTCTGCAGAGGTTTGCTGTGTAACGTCACCTTTCTCAAAACTTGTCCGTCCTAAAAACATGTGCATTTCCAGACTGGTTGGCAAGGGGTTCCTGGTTGTAGCTAGGAGAAATCAGTCTCAAAGACAATGTTCTTGCGATTGCTTTCATTTCTAATATATTGCCAAAGTCGTCTGTAGTTTGCACGGAAGATGCCAACTCGTCTGCATACACTTTGTAGTAAAACTTGACAGTCTCCATTTTTTACTTGTGGAGTTTCACTACCACCTGAAGAGTAGCCGAGTGTCTGCAGAGAAGTTGGTGTCCTCCAAATAATCTATGGGCAACCTTGGCAATCTTCAAGCAACCAAAGCAATCCCAACAAGGTTTTTGGCATCCGTTCAGGAAATGCACATTTTTTCCTCTCACAACCACTGGTTTCAGACTGGCCTCACACTAACTTACACTGTCACCAGGAGTATCACACATCAAAAATGGCAGAAAATTTAACATCACATGGTTAGCAGGCACGTGTCTGCAACAACTAAACAGGAAAATTGCCCTTAGCTCCCTTACTTTGGGACCTCGGTATTATGTAATAGACTAATTCGCTAGTTTTTGGGACAAAGTAAATGAAAGATGTAGTTCATTATGTAAATTATTAAGAGGAGGATTAACTAGGGTATGCTCACTGGGTAATGACTTGTCAATCTCAAGTCAGATCCACACTTTGCTTACATCCTATTTCAAAAAGCTAGAAGGCAGAGGCGAGATTTGTGTATGATCACATTACTCCAGCCTTCCCCATATGGAAAAGATATATATAAATCTTATAAAGTTTGTATCTGTCTTGTGTGAAACTTGTATGAAAAGCATACAAGAGTGAAAACAGATATAAGATCCCTTGAAGAATTATATAATGAAACTTGTATGTTTTGGATACTTACTAAAACAATATATGAAAGTAATGAGAAAGTGGCCACTTTCATGAGTAAATCATATAAGTTTTTAGTATTTCTTTTCCATATGTGTCGTTTTTATCAGTTGCCATCTCATCTCTTTTTATATCCTATTTTCCTTCAAAAAATTCAAATTTCTAGTGCAAACTTGACCCAGTAAAACTCAGTAAAACTGAGTAAAACTCACTGTGAGGTCACCAGAATATCAAGACATAGAGCTAAACTGTATTTACATTTCATTAAGTACACTGTATTTGACATCAGCAGAGGTTTTCTAGTAATTTTGTGATATATTCACACTACTGCAGGAAAGTGAACTGTTAAAAGTAGATTACATTTCTGCAAGTTGCTGATATTTATCCACTGTAAACTACAGAAACCATGAAGCGTGTGACAAGCTAAAAATGAAAGCCTATCATTGGAAAAACACCACAGGGGGGAGGACGAGCCAAGCCCTCCCCTTAAAAAAGAAAAGAAATCTACTGATCATTAATTCCCTGTCTGTTTGTCATCGGGCACTGGTGGTCAAGAGCTCAAGTTCAGATCCTTTTGAGCCCTACAGGAGTCTAAAAAAAGAGTAGAAAAGAGTAAACACACACACACACACTGCAGCAGCTGCTTCAGTGTGTTTGCTTTGGCCTGAACATGTGAAACTACAATGACAAGCCCACGAAGACAAAGGATCAAGTGTATGTGTATTCTACTCCGCGGTGTGAAAAGAAATCTGTTACACACTTCCCGACGCTCCACATCCAGACAGTTGGCATGGCAACCGGCAGAGAGGCATATCCCCTGCATTTGGTTGCACAAAAGTACAGGAGGTTTCACAAAAATGCAGTGTGTGCGGGTGGAAGGGGGAAGGCGGCAGGGGAAAGTACTCAAGTACAGCGTGGTGTCGCACACATGCATGAATGAAGAACAAAAGTTTTGGAAAAATACTGAAGAAGAGAGTAGTGCCATTTTAAAGCCATACCAGTGACATGAACAATTTACAGACCTCAACAACTGTTAAAATATTCAATAATTTAGCTTGGAGTGCCTTTACCACACTATACCATGCATTTCATGAATTTTGAAACGACATGTGAAAGGTTTGCAGAGCCCATGCCAAAGTTAGTGATTCTGAGTAACTGAAAACACTGCTTCTAGTGTCACGTCAATAAATCACCCTCATCACATCATAAGTTTAAGACATCCACAGTGCTGTGACTTCACTATATTCACAATAAAACAAACATAATTCTTTTCTAATATGGTTGACATCGGAGCTTTTTCCTAGCAACCAGATATATGAAATACTCCAAAAACCAAACTGGAGGAGGTAAAAACATGGCACATTAATACAACTAATTGATGATTATTTAAAGAAAAATTCTGTCTTGTTACCTGCTTAACCTTAACGAAATATAGTAGCCTGAAACTGACATTATAAGACAAAACATGTGTTAAACATGTAAGCATAGATGAGCGTTTTGTGGCACTTTTTCCCCCAATTCTATTGCTAGTATCCACCTCTATCTCCTTCAAGGTTAATTTGATTTCAAGTGCATCCCAGCATATTGCAACTTTTAGACATTTATTAGTCTTTTGCAAGCAGACATAAATGACAAAGACACCTTTGTGCATTTTGACAGACAAAAAAAGGTGAAAAAAAGGATCTGCAGTATCGAAACATTTTTCCTCAAAATAGCATTATTAATCTGTAGCATAATACAGGCTGTTTTACATGTGAGTTATAATTTATTTTGAATGAATCGTGATTCCACTGTGACACAAGAAAAGCAAGAGACTGGAAATAGTTAGAACAAATGAGTGACGCGTTAGAGAAGGGTTGTAAAAGGAAATGCTTTAAAGAACAAAAAAAATGTAGAAAGATTAAAAAAATAAAATACCTTCTTCCACATCAGAAAAATAGTCCTCTGTGATCATTTCGGGAATATTGGCTTTATACACTGTGTGTTTGAATGAAGGAAAGACAAAAAAAAAGAACCAAAAATAGATGGAGAAATCATATTCACATCAAAATCATAGGAAAAGGAAGAACTGAAAATAAACGTGATTATTATTATTAAATGTTTTAGTTCCATTTGTTACATTGAAAATATCAAAATAAAGTTTCCAATCATGCACACGATTGTATGTCACGTCACAATTTGGACTCAAATTTAGAAGTTTTAAGTTGTTTTTTTTAATGTTATATTTGAGATATGGAACTCATAGATTTTAGATAGTAACCTGAAATTTTGACTTAGTAATGTAAAAAACATGTGTTGCTTTGGGGGGGTTTCAGTGGCAGAAACAAACCTTTCAATGATCAAATTAAAAAATAAACAAATAAACATACTGATGAAGAACAACAGCAGGTTTTTTCTTCTGAATTACTCAGAAGAAGTAGAAGCAACACAAAATCTTTCATTGACAATAAAAACAAAATAGAGGGAAATCTAACAATGACAGTACAGTGCTGAAATATTCACTTATTCCAGCCACAAAAGCAAATGTGACCCAAGCTGATATTTTAAAGAATTTGTCTCTCTTCAGGTTGCAAAGACAAATCTTGCCTTGATATTTATACAACAATAGCATTACTTTAAAAATGCTGTTAAGCACAACTGTACCTTCATCATCGGACATGTCCAGCACCTCGTTCATGGTCTCGGGGACATTCATTTTGTGCTTCTCGATTACAGTCTGTTGAACAGAAACACGCTCTTAATATCATGACAGTAACTTTACCAAAGTACACGTAATCCAGATTTCTATCCCAGTACAACAGCATCTCTATTCCTGCACCGTTTACTGTGAAAATGTTCCAGTAACTTTGCATTTCTATGTTTATGTAGGTCTTTTCTTTCATGTTATTTTTTTAATGTAGCAATACAAACTTATGTGTGCAAATAATAATTCAAAATGTTCTAGAAAGCCTTTGACAGTAGCTTTTATATAGATATATTTTTTATGTCTGTGAAAGCTCTCAGTCATCCAGGTCATCGTAGTCTATGGAGCTTGGAAAGAAAAGCGTCTGGACTTCTTCTTATAGAACTTAAAGAAGTCCAGACGCTTTTCTTTCCAAGCTCCATAGAATAAAGTTTTTTAAACACTATCTTAGGCCAGTGCCTTCAATGCTTCTGTTTTTGTGAAGTAACTGCCTGTTACTTCACTGTTAATGCCTGAGGCATTTCAAGACAGCTGCTAAGCGGCAGGAACTGCCTCTAGGATTCAGATTTAAGTGTAACTACTACTAAGTTTAAGTATAACTGTATCTATACAGTTAGACACAAGTAAACTATTGAGAAGCCATATTAAACCATACATCACATTTGAACACTCTTTTAAACACATACACACCTGAGTGGTCAGAGTCTCCTCTGTGACCACCTTGAGCGTGTCCACAACAGAGATATAGCCGAGCCGCCTTGCAATGGACAGAGCGCTGTTTCCATTCTGGACAAGTAATAAAAAATGATGAAAATTGGTGTTGAAACTAAAAACAAATGAATAAATATTTCAGATTTCTGAGCGTACTGACATTAGTGAGTTCATTGGGCGATGCTCCATGGTGTAACAGCAAGTTGATGATGTGTGTGTGTCCCTGCTGTGCAGCCTGATGGAGAGGTGTGTAGCCGTTCTGCGGAGGAGGGATGACAGAGAGCGTTAGGAGATGCTCACAGAGACAGAAAATCAGTGGCGTATGGTGAATATACACGAAAATAACAGTTACCTTTGTCTTGGCGTTGACCTTCGCCTGATTTTTCAGCAGAAAGTTAACCATCTTCACGTTGCCATAGTGACAGGCCACATGAAGTGGAGTGTATCCAAGCTGATGAAAAAGAAATGTAACTTCTGTTAGCACAAATTACAAATAGCATACACTGAAGCCAAAAGGCAGGGAGAGCAGGTGCAAGACCCCCCTAAATGACAACAGATATGACGCTCAAATCAAAAATACCACATATGACATAAGATGGAAAACTTGGGGTAGAGGTGGGTTGGAAAGAGACTTGCAGAGGTAGCATCAGATGAGCTGTCAGCTGATTGTGGCCTATGTGAATTAACAGTCTTCCCAAGTCCCTTTATAAAACAATAAGACCACATGAGAAACTGGTGAGGATAACTGATTTCTGTATGGCCTATGAGGATTTTTGTCCTGTGACAATTTAATGTTCAGACCAAGGTTATTATCGTTAACGAAAACTAACGAAATAACGA